TAAGCTGTAGTTTGATTTGCCGCTTCTCGTTTCCATTTTTTTTTGTTTATCCCACTTGTGACACCAATTTGTTACGCCTCCGTTTGTTAGTTAATTTTCCGTATAATTTCTTTCTGAAGAAACTTTAGCGATTCAAGTCCTTTCTTAAATAAAACTGGTTTATTCTTTCTAAATACAACTTTGCCATACATTTAATTTTCACGGTCACGCTATAACAAATGCTATAATTCACAACGAACAATACATCTCTCTCTGTCCGCAATTCAATTACACATTACATTACCTTTGTTGCTGTCACGTCTTGACCGTCTTATATATAAAAGAATACCAAAATCTAGTAAACGCTAGAGCATTCAGGAACCTTCGAGAATATGACGTGTTACCAGATTCACGTAACCCCCGCTGTCGTAACAGTTAGAACAAATTATTGCTGATTTTTGCTCAATATTGTTATTGATCTTGAATGGTTTAATTTTGGAATATTGTGTTCTTTTTTGGAATTAGTTTTTCTAGTTCTTTTTCCAAATTCTTTTATTTATTGAAACTAATAACATTTATATTTATGTTATATTGTTTATTAATGTTTATTTCAAGTCCTGGCCAGGTACATATTTATTGACTATTTTTTTGTTCTCATTTTTGTAAATGATAAAATTTGTATACCAGTTGTTTGAAAGTATTATTTTGGATCGTTGTTCTGTTTACAGTTTGATAAATCGTATTTTTGTTCAACTCTGGATGTAGCAGCGTTTTTTAGTCCATTACATTGGAAACTGAACAGGGACCCTTGCATGTAGGGTAGTTGAATTTTTACATTGAGTAAAATTGTTTTTTGAGTTCAATGTCGACTGATTAATTCAGCAATGATTTACGTTCAGTTAAATATAAGTAAACTTATATTTAAGAAATTAACTTACTATGGAAGTTAACGAAATTGGTGTGACAAGTTTGAAGCAGTCTGTGGCAGTATTGAGAGAACAGGTGCAAATGTTAACATGCATGACGACAGATCTACTTGGAAGAGAAACAAAGTTTCCCTCACCTCCACCTCAAACTCAGAAATTATTCTACCAGTAGCCCTGTAGAAAACTCAGCGATTTACATATCGCAGTCAACCCATCACCCCCGCATGTTGAGAAGTTAGATGGTAAGTTGGATTTTAATGTCGTAGTTTCTTAAAGTTTGGAAAGACACTTTTATATTTAACAAGTACCAGAGAGTAAATGGGTGGACACTGCAACTTGATGTTTGAGGGGAGAGCCACTAGAATGGTGGAAGGCTTTTGGATCAGAAATGGCTTTCAGTTTCAAACATTGGGAAGAATTTAAAGAAAGCTTGACTAATTTGTACCCAGCGGTTTTAGGTAACATAGAATTGAGTAAAGAATTTTTTAGTAGGAAGTACCACGTTAATACAGGGGAGTCAGTTGAAACCTTTATTTGGAAATTTGTAAAAACATGTAAATTATGGAACCCTGAAGCTACAGAGAGAAATTGTGAGGTGTATATTATCATAATTACACGTTTCTTTACTAGAATATTTGGAATGCCACTCTAATGTGCTAAAATTTACAAAACAATACCAACATAGACAAAGGAATAAACAGATAACTGTTAAAAGAAAAGTGATTAACGTAAGTGAACACTGTAATAGACCTGTATGATGATATAATTTTAATTAAATAGGTCACTTATCTATGCATTGTCATTGTAAAAAAGAGAACAAAGAGACGAGGGACTGCGATCGGGAAACGAGAGCAGAGGTTTTGAATCCCTTGAGAGTAAAATCCTCTATCAATTACTTAACTAAAATTGAAAAGGATATGCCACACCTAACAAAAATTAATTATGTGCAACTAGTAGGCCGTATAGATACTGAATCGGATTATTCAATAATAAATGAAAATATGTGGCAACAAATCGGGAGAAATGACCTAAAACTTTAGTTTGAAACTTGGAGTAAAGGTAACAAGTATCTTGCAGATGGAATGACTAATTTTCGACTGCTATGTTACTTTGAAGCCATATTCTTAGCAACAAATAGTATTTTGAACCAATGTTTTATTGTAGTTAAAAGATTTGATCCTACTGTTACGCCTCTGGTCGTTTGTTAATTTCCCGTATAATTTCTTTCCGAAGAAACTTTAGTGATACAAGTCCTTTTTTTAAATAAAACTAGTTTATTCTTTCTTAATACAACTTTGCAATACACTTAATTTCCACAGTCACTTTAACTTAAA